TTACGTAAGCACTGTTGGGCTCTCTGTGGGTCGAACGGTTTGCAAAGTGAAAGTGCGATCGACGTTTGTGAGGGAAACTCTGCATGACCAACAACCCACTCCACCCCCAGCCCCGAAAGCCCTCACGGAGGAGACTGCATGCTCCACGGATGTGGAGTCAGTCATGTGCCTGCTCGGGATGTGTGTCGTCCTGGCTCCCCTGGACAAGCCTAGCCGAAGCAGGAATGGGTGATAAATCAACCCTGGCCGTGGCTCATTCTGGAGGGCACCAAACGCGTGCTAACAGCAAGCCTGTTGCAGCCCATCCTAGGCCCAGAACCGGCGTGTAATGGCGCCCCTGCTGCTGGCAAGACGGGTAAGGGCCGTACGCGGATCCTGGAATCACGGTGGGTCTGGCCAAGAGTGGTAGCGGCCAGTCGGCTGCAGGCCTCCATACTGAAGCATCACACTGGCGAAAAGGACTCACGCTGCTGCAGATGACAGCACGTCTCCCAGCCACCCCCCGCACGCTGGCCGGGGGCGCCCACCGTGGGCGGCATCTGGCCTGGCCAGTGCGATGCCCTCGGCCACCAGGCACCTGCGATGCGAGCGGCCAACGGCAAACAATGAAGACGGTCTCCCTCCCGCTCCCAGCCCTCCCTCGTGGTCTGTGACCTCCCTGGCTTCCATGAGAAAGTGGATGCACTTGAGATTCACGATCACACAGCCACATGACGGCAGGGGGCAAGCATACCACTGGCGCACACGCCTGCAGGGCCACCCTGCGCATGAGAAGGAGGAGGTGAAAGGGACGGGCTCAGCTTCCGGTCTGCCGTTGGCTATGGATCGCAATTCGCGAGATACGTATGGAACAATACCGAGATGCATGTGTGTAGCATTGCAAGGACTCAGGGGTTCTTCATATAAGTCCAAGGGGAACTAGGCCTGGGCGTCGGTCTGGCCGGCGGGCCGTCGCCGTCGCCGCCCGTGGCCACCGCCCGTCCCTGCCGCTTCTCGGCCTGGGCGTCGCTCCGCCGCTCTCCTTGTCGCCGTCGCCGCCCGTCGCCGCCGCCCCGCTGCAGCACTCCGCCCGCTGCACTGCCGTCGATTGCACCACCCAGCTTGCAGGCAAGCGCAAGGCCGCGGATGCACGTGGAGAGCGCCAGGTTGGCCGTGCAGGTGGCACAGAGTGCAGGAGGAGTGAACGGTGCGCACGAGACATTCTCCCTCGCAGCCCGCTTCCAGGTGCGCGACGCGAAGGCGGTTGGCGCAGCACGAATGCAGCACGCCATTGAGGTGCAGGAATTGCGACCAGCAGCCCAGCTGTTTCTGTAGTATAGGACAGAGCGGCTCTTGCGCGTGGGGGCACCGAGAGCAGGAAGAGGTGCAAGAGGAGTAATCTGGCCTGGCGGCTATTCCACGCAGCTCACGCACGGGCGTGACGCGGTACCAGCGCGGCAGTACCCGCAGAGGGGCTATTCTCTCCCCCCCACACACACACACAGAGACACACACACACACATACACTAAGTAAGATATCGAACAATAGAAAGAGAAAGAGAGAGAGAGAGGGAAAACAACCAGTGATCTTCCGCCATGCCGATCCAAGATGCAGCATTGGCTCACGCGCCCTGAAAGCACCAAGAAGAGCAAAACATGAGAGTCTCGTCGTCCCCGGCACGGACAAGCGTCGGCGATGCATCCCACCACCACAAGGCGTGTGAGGGCGGTTTGCATAATGCCAGTCCCCACCGCGCCCGACACACAAATCGGCTGCCTTCCAACAATCGGGGCCCAAGATTAGTCTTAATGTCTGGCATCTTGAAACGAGCTTCGGGCCTCGGGACTGGAAAAAAACAGCTCGTGCCGAAGAAGCAGTCCTGGGAAATCGGCCGACAGGTCCAGGGGTCCACGCATAAAAAAACGAGATGACAAAGGACAAACAACACCCACCGACAGACCTTTCCGAAAGCGTCCAGGCGTTATCTCGGCCTCGGAGTGGCACCGCAGGCGTGCGGTAGGAGCGTTTGAGCTGGCTGAGCATACGACCGACAGAGTACTCCAGATTTCGTAATAAAAGGGAGGGGGTCTGGACCCTCCAAGACAAGCCATTTCAGACCTCCCCCGTGGGAGAACCCTCCAAAACATCGTCCCCAGACCCCCCAGGCCCTCCAAGATAGCCTGGAAGAGACCCGCCCCCGAAATGAGACCCCCCTCCCTTTATTACGAAATCTGGAGTATGGTGAGTTCTCTTGGCGGGATGCTGTCACGTAAGAATCATCAGAACGGGCAGACCAGAAGCGGCCGAAGGCTGCCCCGAGAGCAAGGCAGGCAAGCCGGGCCTTGAGAGCGCCAGCGACACGACTCTCAGGAGAATCATGATGTATGTGTAGCGGCAATATGAAGGGAAATCATGCTACTGCGTTTGAGCCACGATTTCGCGGCCGCCGAGCCCTTGCAAGAAGTACTACGATCCCGCTGCACCGAGGACTGCCAGCGGCTGGCCCTGGGGATCACTGACCAACTCTTCGCAACCCTCCATTCAGGGGGACGTAAGACCTGGGTACAGGGGACTCGGAAATCCCCGACGGGGTCGTCAAAAAATGACGAGGCCGAGCCTGCATTTTGACGAGGCCTCCCGCTGCAGACATCCCACGAAACTCCTCCTCGTCAAAATCCGAGGCGCGGTCGTCAAAAAACGATGGCGAACCCGAGTGCTGGCAAACCCGGGTCTTACGCTCCCCCGATCCGTTCCAGAAAAAAAGATGGTATGCAAAACTCCCACACCGACGGCCCATTACAACCATCACAGACACCACCACCTCTGCCACCCTGCCGCGGGCACTGTGCCCTCCAGCACCTGAAAATCCCACTCGGGAGATGCGACATGAATACTCGCGAGCGCCCCCAGGCGCTTTTAGCCGCTCCCAGGGACTGCCTCGTGACGTTTCGAGGGGTCTCGGGAGATGGTCCAACTTCCGACATTGGGGAACTGGGACACACCAATAAATACACACAAATAAAGGTATCCCCCTTTATGTTCCATATTCTCTAGGTTTCTGTCTTCCCCCCCACTTCCCATATTTTCCCATATTTTCCTGGGGATCGACGATTAAGTGTGTCTGTGTGTTTCTTTCCCTCCTGAATGTTTGCCTGTTCGTTTCGAGGAGCGTCCAAGATGGCTCACGAGGCTCCCCCTACTGTCCCAAGGCGACCCCCGAGACGCCAAGAGGCGCCCAAGAGAGCATCAAAAGGGCGCCCCAAGAGAGCCCCAAGAGGGACCCAACATGACTCCGCAGACTGCAATCAGGCCTCCCAAAGGCCCCTAAGAGGATCCCAGAAGCTCCCAAGCCCCCCGGGAAACCTCACAAGGCTCCCGAAAGACCCCCGAATGGACTTCAAGAGGCGCCCGAGCAGTTTTCCAAGAGACACCACGAGGCCTTCAGCAGGCATATGATCAACGACCCAAGCAGGATGGCCGGATCGGCAGCAGGAAATTAGATGTTACAATCAAAATGCTGCCGCGAGTTCCACTTACCATCTGCCATCCCTGCTGCCGGGAACTTGGCGCACATGTGATGTCCCTTCGCAGAGAAACCGCATGTGTGCGTCACGCGTGCTACGCACTGATATCACTACGACCAAATATGTTGCGTCGCGACTAAACTGAAACAAGCTCGCACCTCTTGAACATATATTACAAAACTTAACGTCATGTGACATGCACCTGACTTGGACTCCAACACTCGAGGCTTCCCAGACACATCCGCGCTGCGCAACCTGATCCCACCTGGAAAGGTGCAAGAGTTTTCTCGAGGCATGACATCTCGTATGCGTGGATTGTCTATTCGAACCAAGTGTATACACATGGATAGGCAAAGACAGGTACATGCATGTGTCCATCTAACTACTGCCATATGTGCACTAGATGCTGTGAATCAGCTGGGCAAGAACGCTTGCGTGGCTGGTAGCATGGCTTTACTGGTAAGATGAAAACCGCCCGATGAATCGAAAACTCTGACTCGGACTCGGATCCATACGGCTGGGACGGATCGTGGTGCAAGGCTTCTTGGGTCGGGGCATGGAACGTCTCCTTTTGGACTAACTAGTGGGGGGAATCCTGGGGAGGCTTTTGGCGTGCGCTCCTAGGGAGCTATGAAATCTACCGGGGACGCTCCGAGTGCGGCTTCCATGGTTGTGAAGGACTCCTGGGGATAGAAGCCCCATGGGATGGGCTACAGAGCGAAAGAATTTCTCATGGGGGGGTCCCTGGGGAGGAACCAGGGAGGGGGCTCCCTGGGCGGCTCCCGCATTCGTGTGGCGCCCGGGGGTGAGGACCCTTAGCGAGACTCCTGGGGAGCAACGCTCGAAAGACTCCACGGAGGGATCCAGGCGTGGCTCCGAGTGGTGGGCCCCTGGCCAAAGCTCGTAGGCACGACTCCCTGGAAGACTCCCAGAACGGCTCCTCTGGAGGGAACCTGGGATGGGCTCCTGGGGATACTTCTGGGACAGGGCCCTGGAGTCGGCGAGAGCTGGACTTGTGAAATATGGCCCCACCGCAATGGCGGGAACTGGAACGACTGCAACGGTGAGAAGCCGAAGGCCCTGCCGGATGTTCTGCACTCTGGAAATTATTAGGAGCAATATGGCTGGACTCTCCAAGTGAGATAGCACGCAGCGCCGGCCAGCGGAAGAGCGCCCAATCCAAACCCACAGAACATAGGGAAACGAGAGGACGCTCCCATGTAGAGGAGTGTCGGGCCCGAAGTCTTCCCAAGAGCTACAAGACTGGACAAACGTGTGGGTCGAAGATGCGAGAGAGTACGGAGGGGGGGGGAGGGGCGACCGCTGGTTTCGCCGACGGCTGGTTTCGCCTGGCTGGTTTCGCCCGGCTTCGCCGCCCGACGAAACCAGCTCCGTCGGCGAAACCAGCTCCGTCGGCGAAACCAGCGCCGGCGAAACCAGCGGTGCGAAACCAGCGCCGGCAAGACCAGCTCATGCCGAGGGAGGAGGGAGGGAGG